TTTCCATTAAACAGGAGACTGCTACCCATCCTGAAATCATGATGGGATTTTATGTAAAGATGTAGTCTGATCCACACCAAAACAATCATGAGCTGAGAGGGGCAGAGATGGCTTGTGCAGAAGGAAACACCTTGAAATTGTCAACCAGCAGCAGCATCAAGCAGGGAGCAGAGCTGCTGAAACATCACATTTGTTTGATGGAATTGTCTGGTGGGTTTTTGCTTTTGTTTACTGAGGTGGCTCAGTAAATCTAGCTTGCTACAATGCAGTGCCAAAGGGAAGTCATGGCCATGTAGCATTTATTTGGAGTTATTTTATTTATTTATTTATTTATTATTTTTTTTTAAAATCTGTACCAGGGACCAAACTCACGACTGCCTGCCTGCAAGGCAGGTGTTTATGCCGCTGAGCTAAATCCCCAGCCCCTGGAGTTATTCTTTTGCAATTGTGAAACCTGCATGCATGACGTTCCACAACTCTGCCATTGCAGACTCACCCACAGGCATTATTTCCATGACTTGTAAAGGGTCAGTTTATTTCCACAACATGCAGAGTGCTGTTCTCAGCCTTGTTTTTCTCAGACTAGTGCATTTTCAATCATTTCTTCAAAGGAAGCTAAATGATTTAGTCTGAGCAAAATTCAATTGTGTTGCCATGCTTCTGTGTGATGTCCTTGCTGACAGACCTGAAGAAGGAAGTGAGGTGGACCAGGTAGGGATTCAGCTCCAGAGGGATACTCTGCTCAGCTGTGTCAGTCAGGGCTGCCCCTCACCTGACTGACCACTCTGGCATCCAAATGCCCTTGCTCAGTGTTGTCCCTGTTGTCAGGAAGCACTGGTTTGAAGTGTAGACTCCCAATGCACTGGTTAACCCATGAAAAACCTTGCTGTGCTATGAGTTTTTCACCCCTAGACCTGCACCTCTATGGCCCTGGCCAGAGTTCCCTCCAACAATCATGCATGGCATTCTCCAAACAGGTCTCTTGTGCATGCTCTATGTAAAGGCTAGTGAGGGTCCCAGTTCCTTTCTGCTTTAAACCGTACTGTGAATCAAACTCTTGAAAAGAAATCTTGACAATTTGTGTATCATTCTGTGTTTGAGAAACCTCTCTTCTTAGTCCTGTGAGGTCTAAGGATGGCTCCATATATAGCTGTGATGGGAGCTGTGGGACAGGACTCTGCTCTGTCCCCCATGTTCTCTCCAGTTCTGTTCAGATCCTGCCTTAAAATGTGCCATTGAATGGGACACAGCACATCACAGTGACTTGTGCCTGCGTGAATCAACTTTGGGAGGCTCAATGTTTTCTGCACCTGTTGGCCACAGGAGGTGATTTCCTTTCGAATTACAAGACTTTCTCACTTCTCTCACAAAATGGACTGGTGAGACCTCTTTTACTCCACTAATTCAAACCCCGGGATTGTGAAGCACTTTCATCACCAGTCACAGCACTAAACAGAGAACCAATCACAGATGCTAGGTTTAGCTGGCTCTGTGACTTCATGAGGCTTTGATGGGGACACCCAGATACAAACCATAACACCTTCTAAAGTAAATCTTCTGACAATGCCCATGCTCTGGACTAGAAGATGATTCCTTGCCTTAGTCCAGGGTTTATCTTATTTTATTTTATTAATTTATTTTTTAAGACTCTCACTGTGTAGTTCAGGCTGGCCTTCAATTCACTATGTAAATTAGGCTGACCTAGAACTTGTAACACTCCTCCTGCCTCAGCTTCCTAAGTGCCAGAATTACACGCATGTACCATCACACCCAGCTATTGTTTGTTAAGCTGTATTTATTGATTTACTTGAGACTACTCAATTTAGGTACCTTTGTTATACTTCAGTACAAAAAAATGCTAATAAGTGTAATAAAATTCCAGCCAAATGTAAACAACTTAGCAACTTTGCAAGGCCCTGTCTGGGAATAAATTATGATAAAAGGACCAAGGCAGTGGATTCAATCTTCAGCACAGCAAAATTAAATAAATCTATAAACAGACTTCGTAGAAAATAATCCATAAACAATACTACTTAGAAATAAATCTATAAAAAAACAAAATTGCTAGTCAGTAAATCTATAAGTAAATAAAGCTTTTGTGTGTAGCTCAGATGAGAAGTGTTTTAAAAGCAATTTTATTTCATTATAATTGACATACAATGAACTAACAGGTTTAAATACAAAATTGGATGAAGCTTGACATGGGCCAGGGATATAGCTCACTGGCAAAGTGCTCCCTGGCAAGCACAGGGTCCTGAATTTGTTTCCTGGTATCAAAAATAAACAATACGGAGACTAAAAACAAACAAAAAATCCTCTAGGAATCTTGTCATACATGAGCCCCTTGAAAACCATCACCGAAGTGGTCATGTATATGTGACCTTCATATTTTGCTTATGGCTCCTTATAATTGCTTCCTTCTATCCTAAGCAATGTGTCTGCTTTTTGTCTCTGGGAAACACTTTGTATTTTCTAAAGGTGACAGGTCTGTAACCACACAGGATGCAGAAGGTTTTTGTTTTTGTTTTGGGGGAGCTGGTAGAGTTTATTCAATCCTCATTACCATGTTAGGTTTCCCAAGTGCTGCTCCTTGTCAGTGGCTGAGCCATCACATCCAATTGTGTGGATGAACCACAGATCCTCATGTGTCCATCAGCTGAGGCCCTTTTTGGTGTTTCCAGTTTTGAGCTCAAAAATAAAGTTGCTGTAGTCATTCTTGTGTTTGTATAGCTGTAGCACTGATTTCCAAGGGGAAGATACTCAGTGTGCAGTTGAATATTTCAGGTCTTGCTTGTTTAACTCAGAAATTATTTAAGTGTCTTTCAAGTAGTTGTTCAAAGTAGATTAAAGATTTCTGGCTCTTCCTGTGACTATTTTTAAACCCTGTTCTTTTTTAACTCTTGTTCATCTATTTTTCAATCTTTTTCAGTTCATTTTATAAACTTTACCTAAGGAAAGTTTATTTCTATTACCTAAAATTCAGAATTTTTTGACTTTGGATAGAATTTTAAAGGTGGAAAAAACCCAAAATACTGTATATATGCACATATGTAAATCTCCTATAATTTTCACATCACAAAACTTCTGCTATGTGATTATTATCTTCATTGTCAACTTGATGGGCTTGAGAGCTGTCCAAGAGATTAGTAAAGTGTACTTCTCAGCTCATCTGTATGGGTCATGGAGAAATGACAATAGGTACTCCACCTGGTCTCTGGTTCCTTCCTCCCTGGTGCTGTCCCTCTACTCTTTTTCCTGGCCACCATGGACTACTTAGAGCATTATACAAGAATGTAAATATGAGATAACAAACTGTAAGAATTATACAACAAAAACAGTGGTTCTCTGCTCTGCTTCACACTGCCTGCCACTGTTGCTGATGTCTTGAACATGTACATTCTCTGACCTTGGGAGCTCACCCAAGAAAATCTTCCTTGAGTTCCCAAAACAGGCCAACAAGTGTTCACACAGTGCCCATGAACAGTCCATCTAACCTTCAGCCAATTCTTCAGCATCTCCAAGGAGAACATGGCCCTTTTGTGTTCTCTCCGTGACTCTGCAGTTGGCCATTCTAATCCTACTTTGTATATACTTTATGTGTGACACATACACACATACATACACACACACACACACACACACACACACACACACACAGAGGCACACACACAAATTAAATCTGACCCTCTGGTGAACCCTGACACAAACTGCCTCTAGCTACCTGTGCAACCTCCCACGAATAATTTCATGCCTCACTCATGTGAAAAATCCAAAGCAGAACTGTAGCAGTGCTGTGCCAAGTATGGGTTAGTTAACGGAGGTGTTGGTATGAGGCTCACTGTGTTAAAATTCTGTGCACTTGTTAGTCATTGGAAAATGTATTAAATGTTGGTGTCTTGTCTCACACAGCTATGAAAATGAAGATAATTCCTAAGTCCTACTCTTGTAAGAATTAACATATGTAAAACACCTCAGAGAGGCCCTGGCCTCACACCTGTAAGGGTTACATATGCTTGTTAGTTTGTTATATTAACATGTAAACATATATGTAAGTTATGAAGACATCAGACGACGGATACCAAAAGCACTCATTTCTCTGTAATAAAAGAAGGGCAACAACACAAATAACAATGGCATCTGAGAACTTGATGTATGTTAGGAACCATGGGAAGAGCTCTGCAGTGTTTTCATTGGATCTTCACAGCAGTGCCAAGAGATGAGTATTGCCATTCTTCACAGTTTGTTTTTTTAATGGAAAAAAACCCGCAATATTTCAAAGCAAAATAATAGGAGAATAACAGTAGCAGAAATTGAAGCTCCTAGAAGAGTAGCAGTGTACCTAAGGTGTCAGGCCCGGGAAGATTTGAGTCCAGACATCTATAAATTCCAAGCCTCAGACTCAGTCCACTCCTCTGCTTCCTCCCACAGCAGGCCTGGGGCTCAGTCTCCCCGAAGCTCCACCTGCAGCCACACCCAGCTTCAGAGAAACCCTAACCCCCACTGCCACGCCCACCACCTCATTCCTGCCTCCTGGAGGGCTCTGCACCTCCTGGGTCCCAGCTTCTGGCCCCGCCACTCACATCGCTTGGCCACACCCCCTGGCCGCCAGCGAAGATTATGCTCCACCTGGCCCAACCTGGGCGGTCCGCGCCCAGGGACGGTCCCTAGCCACTGGCCTTCGCATCCCACTCAGTCCTGCCCCGCCCCGGCCTTGCTTCACAGTGGATGCACCGAGTGGCCATTTTGCTGCTAGCGACCCCTTCTGGAGACCTGAGCACTCTTCCTTCCTCGGCCTAGGCTGTGGCTGGGCTGGGACTGGGGTCTGGGCCAGGTAGGCTGAAGGCAGCTGGTGTTGAGTGGAGGCGCGGCCCTGTGGCCCCGACTTTAGCGGCACAGGTGCCCTTGGTGGGGGGTCCGGGGAGGCTGCGGGCGCGGCACTGGGGCGACCTAGCCTCAGGTCTTCAGGGCCCTTCTTTCCTTACTCCTCTTTCGGGGTCCAGGCCTCGCGAATAGCCCGGGACCCTTACCGCGCCCCCCCCCCGTTGCTGTTGAGAGCCCAGCCCTGCTGTGGGACCTGTGGTAGGGCGGCTGGGGGTCTCACATGGCCTCTGCTCTCAGTGAGCCTGGCCCTGCTGAGCCGCGGACATTTACCCCAACAGGACGATTTTATTCCACTTGCAGCTCCTCCCTGCAGACTGAGAGAGGACCTGGATGTTAAACTAAGTTAGCAGTTTTTATTCTACCTGCACATGCTTTGTCTCCAGTTCATTCCATTGATAAGGGCTTTCTGCTTGTTTTAATATTGGTCCTCTTGGTTGTTTAAGCTTTGTGAGGAGTCTGAATGTGGCATGGGGCTTTGAGGGATGAGGAAGCGTGATCAGCAGCTTAAAAATTTAAATCCGCAAAAAATATAATTCACCCACATTTTTGAACCTGCTGCAGAATACCCATCTTGTCCGTATTTGGCTTTCTCTAACCATACTCCCCAGTTCTGCTCACATCGTTTATGTATTTGCATACTGTTGAATATTTATTTTAGATGCATAGGTAGAGTTTCACTTAGTTATCCTGTTACTGACCACGTACACAAGTCTAGTTCCTCTTAGAAAAACTACATTGAGCATATATCTTTTTTTCTTGGGATAAATTCCAGACATTGGAAATAATAAATCAAAGTTCTGTGTTCTTTCCCTGGTACTTGATATAAATTGCTGCATAGACAAGACATGTTAACAATAGACACCTTGCAAAATTTAGGTATTTGCCCAATTATCTGGAGAAATTTGGAGTTCAGCAAGGTGTTGACTCATTTTCTGTGCCAGCTGAGAGGCCACACAGATTTTATTTTTAACTGATGTACCATGATCATCCTTTTGTTTTGATTCACTCTATTCTGTTTTATTTCATTTGGTTTTATCCTCTTGACAATTAAAAAAAAAACACTTTCTTGCAAGGCATGGTGGTGCATGCCTGTAATCCCAGCACATGTGAGGGTTAGACTCGAGGATCACAGGGAGTTCAAGCCTAGCCTGAAACACTTGTTGAGTCAAGGTCAGCCTGAAGTACATGGCAATACCTTGTCTCAGAGGACAATAAAACAAAGAAACAAACAATTTTTCCTCTTTTTTATTTTAATGTAGCACAGATAGATATTAATAAATTATGAAAACACTTTTATAAATAGATTACATTTTTTCATACCAAAATAGTGGTTAATAAACTGTGTTCAATGATCCCAGGGATTCCTGTATGAGCTATATGACCATGCACTTTAAAAATTTCTTGTTTTTTTTTTTAATTTTTGAGACAGTCTCTTAATAATTTACTCTGCTCTCCAAGTTGGGTTTAACCTTGTGGGCATCCTTCCTTTCCCTCCCAGAGTGCTAGGAGTACAGGTATAGGATACATCCTTTGGTAATTCACAATAATTAGGAATGTTTGTGGGGTGACCTGTGCTTTTGATCTATCGCTCCTTTGTACAAAGAATCAATCTAGTTAATGTGCTACTAACTTACTAACCTACAAATACTTTCACAGTGACTACAACTGCAAATCCCATTGTTTAACAGATTTGAAAGCTATCCTTATTAACTGTGGTTACCATGCAGTTTAGTAATCATTGAAAATTTCTTCTCAATTGTAAATGAGACTTCGTATTCTTGGATGAAAATCCTCCTTTCCCCATCCTTCATGGAACTGACCATTCTTTAAAATCAAAGTGCCCAAGAAAGATGTGGAGGCTCAAGCAGCTTGGGGCACACTGCTCTCCAGAAAGACCAGGTGGTTTTCTGCAGCCCTTCATCTTGATCCCAATTTTTTTCCTTAACTCAATTCAGGGAATTGAATGCAGGCCCTTGCACTGAATTACAGTAAATTCTGATTTCAAATTTCTTTTTTATTTTGAGTCAGGGTTTGCATAAGTAAGTACACTGCTGAGACACCAATCTTGGGCATAGATTCTTACATTTCTGTGTGTGAACACACATTGATGTCAGAGACATTTCATTTTCAAGACCAAGATCTTCCATGCACACATCCTACTCTCATCATTGTATTACTTTGTGTTCAGATTCCTTTTTCTCTTTCCTTGTGGGCCCAGAAAGACTGAGCTCAGCATCCCCACAGCTTTCCCTGGTTCTCGTGACGCACTCTAATCCCTTGAACTCTCTAAGTGAAGTGTAGCAAGGCTCCCAGTGTCCTCCTGCTTCAAACAGTGCAGTGAACCACAGTCTTAAACACAAAGCCTGAAAAGTTATGTGGATCTCTGTGTGGGATAAATCTCTATTGTGAGCATTGCAAGGTCTGGGGACACCTGTGTAGAGCTGTGATGGGAGCTACTGGACAGGGCTCTTCTCTGCACACATGTTCTCCCTAGTGATGTTCAGCTCTTGCTTTAAAACCCGCCATCAGATGGAGCCACAGCACATGTCAGGGATGTGTGCCTGCATGAATCAGCTTTGGGAAGCTCAGCATTTTCTACATTTGTTTACATGTGGTGATTCTCTTTTAAATTACAAGAATTTTTCATCTCTCACAGAATGGACTCATGACACCTCTTTGTCACTTCTAATACAAACTATTTATCTGTCTGCTGCTTGTAAGCAAAGATTTCTTATTGTGGATTCTACATTATTCTTGTTTCTGTTTTTCAAATGTAAAGAATCAGATCTTTCTCTCTCCCTTGTACCACTGAAATCATGGGAAAGCTTTTCCAACATGAAAAGATGAGTAGATAAACAATAGTCTTCACATTTTATCTGTACACTTTGGTTTACCCGGGATTTTCTCTTCTATCGAAGAGCAATAGCAGCCAGTCTCCTCTAGGAATATTTGGTCAAACATAATCTGATGCATGAATATGAAAGACCCAGAGAACTAAATCACAGGGTGAAAAAATCAGAGTGAGTGGGGAATAGTAAGAGAGTACAAGAATATGGAAGGGTCCAAAACTGAGCAGATTGCTGGAACTCAATGGATGTGGAAATTGTACAAATTGGTGATGTGATGACGTGCTACTGAATTGAATATGTTGAAATGCATGATATCTTCACTTTTAATTAAAATTAACTTAGAATTTGATGTTGAGAATAATTATAGAGATAGGAGTAAAAATCAAAACTGAAAGAAATACAAGGGGATGGGTTAAAAGGGGATGGGAAGGTAAAAGCAGGTGCTTTGCAGGACTTGGCCTAAGTGGAGTTCAAGACACCTGTCATGGCATGACTAAAAGTGCCAGTTATGGAATTCCTTAAGAGTGCATGCCTGACCCTAGTTTTCACTTTGATCCCAGAGCTGGTAAAGTCACTGGAGGTGTGGATGACCAAAGCTGTGCAATTGGGACTTGAAGTTAGTCATGTACCAGCCATGTGTCAGCAGGAGAACAATCACCAACTGTCCTTGCTCCTTGTAGGTCCCAGAACTTCCCAGTGCCTGTCACAGACAACTCTGTTCACAAATCCACCACAGCAAAGTTTCTCATTCAGCTTGGACCAACTCATTTCTGCATGCCTCAGGGTTGCTTGAGGTTCCAAGACTGGCAGTCTTTCTCCTTGTCAAGTGTCCCATGCACTCATGAGAGGCCCACAGGCCAAAGCCAAAATCTTCTGAATGCAGTGCTTAGTTTCAGTTTTATCCAATTCAGCTGGGATATCTTGTAGAATTGGACACCAGCCTCATGCTCCAGTTGCAAAGAACCCAGCCCAGCCTTCTCTCTGCCTTGAATGGGACAGCGCTGGTCCAAGAAGACTTACCCCGCTGATATTAGTCCCTAAAAGTGCTGTGACCACCGTGCTCCTTTCTTTAGGAAAGCATGAAATCCATCTTCCTTTCCCACCCTCGTGTTGTTGTCTCTGTGAGAAAGAGAATGGTGTCTGCAGTGTTGCTCTACTTGTGCTTACTCTACAGGGTTGGTGCACTGCAAATATCTGTGAAGTGAGTGGTCAGAAGGAGTGTGTTCTGCCTGCCATTCTTTCCTCTTCAGTTCATATAGTGATGCATCATTCCATTATGTGTGTCTTCTGGGGACACCTATTCCTCTATTATGTGTTCACATATGCAGAGGCCAGGAAGTTAGGCACATTCACAGTAATGTGGGTAGTACCTGATCTGTTCTTTAGAGGGAATTGTGTCCTGGATAACATGGAATCCCAAGAGAACAGTGGCTAAATTTACTGTGTCCACTGCATTAGGGTCATAGCCTAGTAAATTGGTGGTTAAATGCACTCACCAGCTCTTTTTATGATGTCTGTGTGAACCTGTGTCCTATGGTATCCTCCAGAGTTTCTTACTGTGGATACCTTGGAAGCCCATGGAATGACTCTCCAGTGTCCTTCACAATAAAGATAACAGCTTCACCCATGTGACAGATCCATGATAGGAGGCAAGGCTTCCCCAAGGCTAAGAAAAACCAGCAGTGCTGACAGGGTCACAGCTCTGAGGAGAAAGATCCAAATCCTCCTCCTGACTTCCTCCATAAACCTAGACAAGACACCATGCCTCAGGTCTTTCACAGAGTGTCCCCATGCAATATAGAGGTCATCCTGGCATCTACTTCCTAGGGATATTTTCACCAGTCTGAGATGACAATTGTAACGCCTGTTGGCTAGTGTCTTGTGTACATAGTGTACAGAATTAGAGGTTAAATCCAGGAACCGGTGCGATGAACGTGGAATACAGTGCTGCCTGGTGGTAAAAATGACACTGACCTCCTGGACATATTCCCTGGTGGCATCATGAGGGGGCAGAAGTTCTTCAATTCAATCATCTTTATGTTCCCTAAGCATCACAATTTGTTCTACGTACTGGTGCTATGGCCTCGAGTCAGGACCTCACACAGGCTATGCCAGCACTATGGATGGAGTTGAACCACCAAATCTTCTGGCATTGCTTCTACATTCACACATGTGTGAATTAGCACTCCCATGATCTGACTCCTACTCAATAGCTGACAGATGACCTTCTGATGCCAAAAGCTGAGTAGCCCATTCCCTACATTATGGGCCTCACTTAGTGAATTATTATTATTATTATTATTATTATTATTATTATTATTAGTGTTGTTATTTTGCATTAGCAGTGTTGAAA